TTTAAAAAAATGAAAAAAAAAAAGAGTACATCTTCAATCTAATGGATTATGTTTGAAAATATTTGCATTTAAAGATTATTGCTTACTATGGGAAAAATAAAACAACAAATGATTATTGGCTTACTATGGGAAGCTGTAACACTTACTGTGAAATGGAATCCAATTTGTATTCGCTATTATTCAGGATATTGAAGCTCTAATTTGTATTCGCTATTATTTAGGATATTGAAACTCTAAATAGACTATTTAAGTAACTATAATCATATTAGTCATTTCATATTTTTAATTAAAATAATTAATTTTTTAATTTTTTTAATTTTTTTTCACTCCAACCATTAATTAAATGGTTAATTATTTTAAAGAATATCTTTCACATTAACTAAATATAACTAGCATGAAAAAACTAGTTATTTCATTTTTTATATTATTTTATTCTTCTAATCATAATAAATGTAAAGATTTTTTTATAAACTCAATAAAGTTATTTATATTTTAAATTTAATAAATATTAAAATGATATATATTTAACTAAAATAGTGAGTATGATTAGAGTAGCTCTTCAAAAAATTGATGACCAAAAATTTAATTAAATTTAAAGAACTCCCTTGGAGATGCTCTTACACAATTAGTTTGAACATTTTTTGTTCCCTTCCAATGGTAGAATACAAACAAAAGAAAACTGGTATTTGATAAGCACAATTTGATAATGAACTCTTCACATTTCCTGAAAAGACATTTTAGAAGCTTGTTCCTGATATATGTTGCTTTTAAAAGAATCCTTTACAAAATATAGCCAATAGGACAACCTCGCTTGTTTCAGTGAGCTAGTTGAAAATTAAAATATTAAGTGCATTTAGAGCAAAAATTTGTGTCATGATTCGCGGCTTGTTATAGTATTTTCTCTCATAAAAAATACACATAAACCGAGAATGATTCTGAATCATGATTCTGAATCTATGAACTAAACGTCCAGTTATTGATTCTCTCATGTCCTTGAAATATATACTTGCATGTAAAAGGGAATTTCTATTCTATAAAGCTTCAATTCCGTTAACATTAGAAAATGAGAACCCCATTTTACTTGGCAGAGGCGCAAGGCAGCACCCACCCAACCAAGTGCGAGTTTTCTCGCTGATGCCTCGATCGCCAAGCCTGCAGCAATTAACAACATTCAAGTCGGATTCAGACGTAAAATATTAAACTTTGACATGTTGACTCACAAGAAGCATATGACATTTTTATGACCTTAAATAGATGTTAACTTTGTGATAGAAAGACCTTTGCTTCACTATTTGAAATGAGAATGAAAGTATCTTTATTATACAAGCCTTCAGGAATTATTGTAGCCTATTTCTATTTAAGTTCTTTCTTTTTCACATTTTTTAAATTTATCATCCAACTTGGTTTAGAAAAGTTGCAAGAAATTCTATACATATTGGCACAGTTACCTTTTTTAGGCGTAGTTTCGGGTTTGCCCAACAAAGAGCTTCTGAGCTCTCCCTCAATCTGCAATAAGAGACAGAATCTCAGTGTAATGCATATTTCCTATCTTCGAGGATCACATACAGAGTTCAGTGTAGCAACTTAATAGTTGCTTAGAGAAGAAACATGACTTAGTTTTTAGTCTTTGATGGATGAGTTAAACATAAAGCCACGCCAAGTCCAGCCATCTTTATTTGAAGCACTAATACCCTTAGCACGTTGTCCGTTCACTTCGTTAATTCAAATTTGTAATTTGAGTTGAGATGTGATTTTATGTGAGAACTTTTTACTATAGCAAAAAAATTAGATGCGACTGTTTCTGAGAATTTTTTACTGTAGCAAAACTCAAATTTTAAACTCAAATCGGTAAAGTGAACAGAGAGTTTCTTAGAAAATACATTCAGGTGTTTATCGCGTTCTAAAAAGTCGAACATATCAACTAAAAAATTAATAATGTTTTGTACCAACTGATAGTCCAAAAATTGAAATTTGAATATGTTTACAGATTATCCCAGTGCATATGACTTTCAAGACATGAAGGACAATGACAAAGTAAAAGGAGATAGTGAAATTGCTCACCCATTCTCATCTCCAGAGCTGTTAGTGTAGTTGCTAGAACTGTTATAAAAAGCATTTGAATTGATGGTAGTTACACCCGTTCCGAAAGATGCCCTCCTCGTTATAGACAGTGCAAGATTATTGTCTAGCTGGGATTCAGCACAACAAGCAATCTGAGAGGCATCCAGTGAACGTGACTTCTTACAAAATCTAAAAGTTCTTGAAAAGCAGTTCGGTTGATTCTTCGGCTCCTGAAAAGATAAAATCTGGCCGCCATTGCTGCCTCCTTGTTCGTTTGAAAAAGCAGATACTAACACAGATGTTGGTGTATTATCTTCAAATGATAAGTGTGCCGCGGCTGTCCTTGCGCATACTACATTTTCGTCAACATTTCCCAAGGGCTTTACTACATCCAATTTGTCACAAAAGCTATTAGGCATTTGCAAACTTCCACAATCATGGGGGAAAGGTCTAACAGATCTGTCAGTTATCATAGGCCGTTCGGAAGTGTAATCAGAATAGTCTGAATCAGTTTCACGATTAGTAGACGATTGTGACTTGTGAGTTCTGCGGGAACAACCGAATAACCTGAAAGATGCCTTCTTCACTTTGGCATACCTTGAATTAGAACCACAAGATACAAGGTTGATCCTGACCTCTACATTACAACTTAAAACAGACTGAAGCAAGTTGGTAATCAGTTTCTGCGACTTCTCCGCCTTCGATACACAATCAGGGTGGCAGAACTCCAATTCAGCTACCGCTACACCTGAAATCTCATCGTTACTATTTTTAAGTATAAAAATTATCTTACAAAAAAATAGACCAAGCCCCATACATAGTTGATTGTAACACCATAACATCTTTTCAGCAAGACTGCATGAGGTAGTGATCAAATCTTGTATATACATTTTCTTTTGAAACAAGCAAAAGAAAACATTCATTGTCAGTCATGTCCCAGAAAAGAAAGGTTTAGCATGTCATTTATTTGTCAAAGGCAAATTCAATGCTAGTAACTAAAAGAGAGATGAGAGAATTACTAGTTAGATGTACCTTGGCTGACAGTTAGAGAAGATAGTTTCCCTTGTTCCATAAGAAAACTCTTCAGTGAATTCGATTGGCATAATTCTGTGGCCCTCTTCCATATGGATTCCAAGGTTCTTCTACAATCTTCTGGCAATTTGTGTGACTTTTTGTCCTCACATGAGTAATTGACAAGATGCTTCAAGTCCTCCCCTGCAAAGAGTAAGTATTGGAATCAAAGTTTACGATTAGAATGCCACTTAGTTTTATTTTTACCCCCTTTTTGAAATAATTTCGTAGAAACCTATCAATCAATAAATCTTTATCGAACAATTCTCACCTCTGTCGTGAGCATTATCAAGCCACAAATTCGACTCATTCGCTTCTGCAGAAGAACATTCCATAGAGCTAAGCTGTAGAAGAGCTACAGTAAGCCATGTTGTTTGGTTTTTTGACATCCTCAATTGCTTTTCGGTTTCGGACAGTATTTTTAGTGCATGACTCAGTTTCTGCAAGTCCATTTCAGCTGAGAAAAAGAAAATAGTAGGATGAAACAGAGAAATAAACATGCTAAGCATAATATGGACAGTAAGAATAGCCTCGTAAAACATACAATCATACATCAATAAGCAATAAGCATATCACAATAACAGCTTAAACATACAACTAGTTAAAGAAAGAGCAAGGTCACTGACGATGACAAAAGAACTCTACTTTCTTTTCACTATCTATTTTCTACGGCCTTTTGAAATCTTATTGTACTTACACGTATGCCTGCTTGAAAACCTTCTTCTGACTTCCGAGCAACCTTCCTGACATCCCGCAAGAATGTCCATAATGAGATTTGCGAGCTGTGACGTGAGTTGCATAGGATCAATCCTTGATCTCATCAGCTCCCTTGCCCTTATTACGGTTTTCGAAGTGTCTGATGACATTGCCAAATCCAGCAAATCAAGCAATTCATCATCAGAAACAATACCAATCTGCGGAAGAAAATAAAAAGGCAGACATTTAAATTAGATGTGCGTCACTTGAAACTGAAGCAAACAAAAAAATACCACCCACTTACAAGTTCATATGCCAGGGACATTGTGATCTTTTTAGCGAGCAGACTCAGCTGATCGAGCATCATCTCGGCATCCCTCATTGAACCGTTAGATTTTGCAGCAATGAAGTCTAAGGCACCTTGATCGAAATCAAGTCGCTCTTCAAGACAGATTTTTGCCAATCTGCTTGCAATATCGGCGTCCTTTATCTTCGGAAAATGGTACCTCTGGGACCGTGATACAGCGCTTCTTGGCAGCTTATCGAGATCAGGAGTGATCATCACGAAGATAACGTGTTGAGGAAGGCTATCCAGGCTGTGCAAAATGGTGGCCCATGTTTCCCCATGGAGCAAGTGGCACTCATCAACAATGAAAACCTTAAACTGCGACGAAACCGGAGGAGTCATTGCCTTCTTAATTAAGGATCTAACTCTATCACGCCTATTGATTCTCACAGAATCCACTTCTTTCACATCTATGTTCCTTCCGGAAAAGAACATGACACATTCAGCACAAAGACCGCACGGCCTGTCATCCTGCAGTGAGAGGCAATTCAACGCCGCGGAAAAAATCCTTGATGCAGAGGTCTTGCCGGTACCACGAGGGCCATGAAAAAGATACAACGAAGTTACTCTTCCTTTACAGATAGCACCCAAAAGAGACCTTGCTACCACATTTTGTCCCACCAATTCACTAAAAGATCTTGGCCTGAATTTTTGACTCAAACTCCTAGGGGTTTCGGATACTTGAGTAATTTCATTGCAATAGTACTTCAAGCATCGGTTTTGGTACATAGCATTCTCATCTTCATTCCTGCATAACAACGGATTGTTTTCCTCGTCAGAAGATTGGTTTGCTTCTCTGAATCTTGGTGTTCCCGACCAGCAGCAGCTTATCCCGCATCCACCATCGTCATTGTCAACAACACCAACCTCATCATTTGCAAAAAACGACATGCTCCTGCTCGAAAGAGCATCTCTAGGCGAGGGACATGGACTTCCAACACAACTTGTGCCATCACCAACCGCCACAGAAGATTTCACTCTCCTTTTCCTTTGAAATTTTTTTTTCAATGCTATGCGATCCGTTCTCTCTCCTCGAAACGATCCTAAGCTCGCCTCATTACACGAATCCACATCCTCCAAAGGATTAATGGAAGGTATAATGCAAGTCTTATCAATTTGATTGCCGCAATATCTTTCACTCAACGATTTGTTTCGAGGAATCTCCTCCTCATACAAATGATCTTTCTTGTTTCCAACTCTCCCTGAATTCTCATAGAATTTCAATTTAGGTTTCCCAAAATCGCAATTCAATTCGAAATCATCAAAGTGGTTCTCTCTTCCACCATATAGCCCCACATTCTTCAGTCTCGAACCACGATTTTTCCCCGAACCTCCTTCTTGGCAAGAATCCAAGAATTGCAGAGAAATCCCATTACTGGAATTGGTCTCCCAATTCACATTGTCAACCAAAGCAGAGAATTTGCTCATGGAAAGAGTTGAAGGGTCTCTCAGAGACCTCACTCTCCTCAATGCCACAAGAGTCTTTGAGATCGGAATATCAACCGAGTGCCTCCGGCCATCCATCATCATTTCAAAAAAGTACAACAATCACACAAAAAAAAAATGTACGACTCACAAACTCAAGTTTTCAGGGCCCACAAAGATATGCACCTGGACAAAGCAATAATAACAACACCATCGTCAAATTCATCATCATCAATCGCTTAAAAAATAATAATAACACCTAATTCTAAACATTTTGGCTTAAAATTCCCAACACAAACAAAGTTCTTCACTAAAAAGGAATGATCAGAAATTCAAAAAACAAAAAAAAACAGCTACATTGTATTACTTACTGAAATGGGCATCAAATTTTCAGAAACAAAAAGGAAAAAACACAATGTAGCACACCATAGAATTCAGTGACACAACAAACTCCCTTTTTGTTCTTTTTGATCACCATTGGATTACATAAAAACCCAGAAAAAACCCCATTACCCAGAAAGAATCACAAACTCTCAAACTTAAAAACCGACCAAAAACCTTCCTTTAACAGCTCAAGCACCACTGGACAGAATTCTAGAGAGAGAGCGAGTGAGAGAGAGAGGTCCAAAGAAAGAGAAAGTCAAAGAAGGAATCTAGAATTTCAAAATGTGGGATAAAATCACGCAAAAAAACAATTCAGGAACGGACAAACTCGGAAATACCAACAAATTCCCATTACCTTCAGAGCAGGAATAGGAACAATCCATAAAAATTAAATACAGCTTCGAAATTGACGAAGTTTTTTTAATTTTTCTTTTTTCAAACTGGGCAGCGCAGAAAGCGGAGAAGAAAACCCTAACCCTAGAGCAGTGTCCTTGGTGGTTGAGCTCAGAATCAGAGAGAAAGAGAGAGAGAGATGAGGAGATGACGAGGGATGAACGGTGGGGGAAGGGGCAAGTGGCAAAGTAGTAAATGTCATAAATGCGAAGGGTACTGTCACACGCCATTGTCTGTCCACAGAATGTTAGAGAGAGAAACAAGAGAGAGACAGAGAGAAAGAAAGAGAGAACTTTGGTCAGAAATTCCCAGTTTTTTTTCTCTGCCAGAGAGCAGAGTTTTTTTGGTTTTCTCGGCCAGAGAGCCACGAGGGGCACTTTCGGTATTTCGTCGTCGGCGGTTTCAGTTAGTTCGGTTGGTTGAGGAATCAAACAATAAAAAATCCTTATCTATTTTCCTTTTTGTCGTGTACTCCCACCCTTGCTAAAAGAGCGTGTAAAGCACGCGACTGGGAATTGGCTGTGTTTCGAAGAGAACCTGTCGTGTGGAGCACAAACAGCTGTTCAGAAAAAGTGGAAGGCTTTTCGAAGACTGTTTGGGGGTTTAACTGGACGACAAAATCAGGTTGCGACATAAATGTGAAATGACCGTTTCACCCATTTGAAAAGCCTGGTAAAACGCCTTCACGAGAAGATGCTTGGCTTTTTTAAAAAACTGAAAAATGCGTTGTAGGGGCTACTGAGCGGCGCCGCTCCGCTGTAATAACTGAATCGGACAGATAGAGATAAGATGTAAAAAAACTGAGTACTGAGACGTCACTTTTACAGAGAGATTTTTTTTGCGTAGACGACCTTTACCTTTGTAGCTAGCACTGTACAGTGTACAATGCTAAACGCTAGATCACCTTACATTTTTATTGTCGCAATTAAGGGCACTTTGGTATATAGATTCAAATTCAGGATTAAATTAGCGATTTTGATTATAATTTTTAAAATTTAAATTTTTATAAGAGAAAAAATATTACAGTAGAATTAAAATTATGAATTTAAACTTATAAATAATGGTGTCTTAAAAGTATGAAATGTAATAAAATATTTATTATTTATTTAACAAAGTAGTTTATTCATTATTTTTATGCATATATTAAT